GAGGTACAACCAGAGGGGCGTGGAGGACGCCCTGCACCACCTCAAAACGGGGTACAGGGGTGTGGTCACGGGTGTGGTCAGGGGTGTGGTCAGGGGTGTGGTCACAGGATGTGGTCACGGGTGTGGTCACAGGGTGTGGTCACGGGTGTGGTTATGGGTGTGGTCACGTGTGTGGTCACGTGTGTGGTCACGTGTGTGGTCACGGGTGTGGTCACGGGTGTGGTCAAGGGGCTGGAGGTGGGAATTATGAGGAAAGGGCTGTGGGCGGGGCTTTCAGGGAGGGGGAGGGGCCTGAGAGGAAGGGGAGGGGCTTAGAATGTTTGGGCGGGGCTTCAGTGCAGTGGGAGGGACCTGAGGGGAGGTGGGAGGGGCTTAGTCTGCAGGTGAGCCTATGGGTGTGGCCTGTGATATATGGGCGTGGTCTATGGACTTATGGGCGGGGCTTGGGCACACTGGTGACCCTATGGATGAGCCTGTGGGCGGGGCTTAGCACACAGGTGAGTCTGTGGGTGGGGCTTTAAACCCATGGGCGGGGCTATGTGGGCCGTGGGCGGGGACTACATGCTGTGGGCGTGGTCTACGGATCGTGGGCGGAGCTTATGGGTACAGGTGAGCCCAGGGATGAGCCTTTGGGCGGGGCTTAGAGTACAGATGAGCCTGTGGGCGGGGCTTTAAGCCCATGGGCGGGGCTGTGCAGGCTGTGGGTGTGACCTACATACTGTGGGCGTGGTCTATGGACTATGGGCGGGGCTTGGGCACACTGGTGACCCTATGGATGAGCCTGTGGGCGGGGCTTAGCGCACAGGTAAGCCTGTGGGGTTGGCTTTAAGCCCACGGGTGGGGCCGTACGGGCCGTGGGCGGGGCCTGCCGGCGGTGGGCGTGGCTGAGGGCGGTGGGCGTGTCCCCCAGGAAGCTGGACGCCTTCATCTACGACGCGGCCGTGCTGAACTACATGGCCCGCAAGGAGGAGGGCTGCAAGCTCGTCACCATCGGCTCGGGGAAGGTCTTCGCCTCCACCGGCTACGGCATCGCCCTGCAGAGGGGATCCCGCTGGAAACGCCCCGTCGACCTCGCCCTGCTCCAGCTCCTGGGGGACGGTGGGTCTGGGGGGGCAGAGAGGGGGTCCTGGAGGGGGTTTGAGGAGTCCTGAGGGGATTTGAGGGGTCCTGGAGGGGGTTTGGGGGGTCCTGGAGGGGGTTTGAGGGGTCCTGGAGGGGGTTTGAGGGGTCCTGAGGGGGTTTGAGGGGTCCTGAGTAGTCCTGCAGGGGTCTGGGGGTTCCTAGTTGGGGTTTGAGGGGTCCTGAACTCTCCAACCCCCC